GCCAGGAGAATCACCAGAAGAACCGCCAGAAGAATCACCAGAAGAACCGCCAGGAGAATCACCAGAAGAACCGCCAGGAGAATCACCAGAAGAATCACCAGAAGAATCACCAGAAGAACCGCCAGGAGAATCACCAGAAGAACCGCCAGAAGAATCACCAGAAGAACCGCCAGGAGAATCACCAGAAGAACCGCCAGGAGAATCACCAGAAGAACCGCCAGGAGAATCACCAGAAGAACCGCCAGAAGAATCACCAGAAGAACCGCCAGAACCGAAATTCCACGTATAAAACAGGCCTTATTATGCGTGGCTATTTTTGTAATAAGACCAGACGTTGAACATTTAAATGTGGCAGGACCGATCGCGGTGTCAATCGTTACAGTCGGTGCGATCGTAGGTGCCTTTTTAACGGTAGTACATTATTATAAGTACCACTAGACGACAGAAAATTCACCAGCTTGACTTATGATAGACAATCTATAATGGAACAGCACGTGTTATTGATATACAGTGTGTCCCAAAAAAAGCACCCTCTATATTGAATTTTTAATTACCGGTACCAGTCGCATAAAATCCTGTGCTTAACAACAATAAGGTAAATTTCTATAGAGGGGGACACACTGTACAGGAATAATACTAACAACACTATGAATAACGAGCGAAAACAGTTCAATAATTTTAATGCTATACACGCAAAAAGCTCTCATCTTGTGGCAAGTGGCAGAACAAGCCGTCAACAAGTTGTGTTCGCCCAGGTTGTCAATAGATATGTTTTTGACAGTTTGCCAATAAGCTTATGAATTATGAATGAGTGTTTTAAATTATATAGCAATATATTTGACAACCTTGTAACATTCTTGTTAACAGCTTTTTAACAATTCATTTGCAGACCTGTGCGTTTTTACGTGTGTAGGAGAATGCTGATGTGTCATTTTATCGGTTTCCCGAAAGTACATTTGGCTGCGTACAATTGCTTTTAATACCTGAGGCCCCCTTTAAATTGCACTTACCTGGATGGGTATTTGACGGTTCCTTCATTGGGTGGAACAATTTCGTTAAAGTGGCACTATCGATCATTTTGTGAAGCTAAACACGTAATTTATATCATATAATATACAATGTTTAATGACACAATGTATATAACTACATTAATAGTATATAAAACCAATACACAGCACGTAATTCTGGATTTGTCTACTGCTTATTGTTTCTGACACTGTATAATCGCAATCGTTCATATGTCTGTAGAAAAGGAACATTTTCGTCTTAGCAAATGTAAATTTCAATTGGATTTTCAGTACTTGTAGCTGGAAGAGCCTGGAATCTCTAGGCCAGGGGATTTCGGGAATCTGTCTGGCCCCAGGAAAATCTACAGTTTCTCAGAACGGACTAAACTGAGAAACATTTTACTATTTTAGTGATTTTACATCACATAATTTGTGACTTGTGAGGATGAGAATTCAGAAAATATCATATAATACACACTGCATGGGAAGAATATCTGTGCAAAAGAAGTAAATCTTACTCTTAGCATTGAAGCATTCGTATTTCATAATTTACATTTGATAATTCAATTTCAATATTCCCAATCAATTAAGTTTAACTGACAACTTTTGCTTGCAAAATCATCACGAAATCCAGGAAGTATGACCACGTAACTCCACTTCTACGTGAATTGAATTGGATCGGCAGTGGACAAACTACTATATTTTAGAGACGCCAGTTTGACCTATAAATGTGTGAATAACCTAGCACCCGACTACCTTTGTAACAAATTGATAAAAAGGTCATCAATCCTCGACCGTAGGACTCGTGCACACGACTCTCTTCAAATACCTCTATTTAAGACTGCAGCTGGCCAACGATCATTCACATATAGAGCCGTCCATATTTGGAACAATTTAGACAAGAACTTGAAAGACTGCTCTTCACTTAAAATTTTTAAAGCAGCACTTAAAAAACATTTGCTTGCAAAAGATAACATTTAGTATAACCATGCAACTAAACTTTGTATATAGTCTTTGATAATTGTTTAAACTTATATTTTGTAACCTTAATTATTACTGTATGCATGTAACTGTAAATAATTTCTGAAAAACCCTTTTAGGGAGAAATTTATTAAATATCTATCTATCTATCTATCTATCTATCTATCTATCTACAACTGTGAACTGTTACAGTGCGGATCTTCAACAGTAATCACTATTGACTATTCAACAGTAATGTGTTGACTTTTTTCAGTGTGTATCATTTAATCATTGTGATAATCATTCTTAATTTCTTATATAAATGTTTGCTTGCAACTTGCAAGATGATTTTTCAGTTCGGTCACGAAAAATTTCGTCTTGCCCCAGCACACCTATAGGAGGCTTCTCGTGATCGTTCAGTCGCGTTGGAAGATAGTTCAAGTAAGGGGTGGGGGACTGAAACCAAGGGATTGAGGGGCATTCTGCCCTAGAGAAAATTTGAAAACTTGAGCCTCCGAAATGCCCATTTCCTACACATCCTGAAAACATGGATAACAAATATGTTTAGTATTTTTGCGCAAGTGAACATAACAATGGTCAAATTTGACGTATTAATCTGTTATATTCACCTATAGGTGAATATAACAAAATCGAAATTTTCAAAATGGCGGTTAGCCGTTTTGTTGAAGTTGTGATAAAGAAATAGGCGAAATTAAAACGAATTCAGACCGGAAAAACTCAAAAAAACGTGTGCAAAAATACTAAAACAATTATTCGCCTCAGGCTCGATGATTATCGGGGAATATTCACCTCGACTTCGTCTCGGCGAATATTCCCCGATAATCACCTCGCCTTCGGCGAATAATTGTTAAATAGCCAGATAGTGACTCGGATTGATTTACATATTGTATTGACATATGGCTGTTGTCATTGCTTTTAGTCTTCAATATTTGAGTGAGTCATGTTTTGGAAATGACAATAAATTTTTATTACCCAACCCTTGAGTTGTTCTGTTTTTCAATTACCCAACTTTTTACTCACTCAAAATTGTGTTCACCCAACCCTTTTTGCCCCCCCCCAAGCCAAAAATAATGACCTTTCCCTAAGAGGCAATGTGATTGATTAAAGCTGCCTCAAATAAACACTGCGCATCTCGCACAACACCTACATGGTTAAGCAATAGACGATAAGGATTAATCTAGAATTATCTATGGAGCTACTCTTCTATTTATTTTTATTGATTCAATCAGGGGCGTAGGAAGCATCAAAAGGTGGGGGGGGGGGAGTGGCACCTGCTTCGAGGGGCACTTTTGGCACTTTTTGGAGGGAGTGGGGACATAGACATTTATTTATTGAAGGGCAATATTCTCAAGAATTGCAGGTTATTTTCTGAACAACTTTTTTCACAAAGACAAAGGGCACTTTGCCACCCGGAGAGAAGACACTTTTTGTGTCTTCTGAAAACTTGTCTATTTCTTTTTGGTGCCAACACCCACTCCCCCACCATAAATAATGACCGACCTGTCCCTAAGACGCAATATGATTAATTTTCGTGGAGAAAAACTTTACTTCAACGTTTTCTTGCCTCTTAAAGCTACCTTGAATAAACACTGCGCATTTCGTACAACACCTATAGTTAAGCAATAGACTACAAGGATTAATCCAGAATTATCCATGTAGCTACTCTGCTATATCTTTTTATTGATTCAATGATTGATTGACAATTTTATTTGACTATACGAAATCTACTTCAAAATATAAAAAAGATGTGCACTTTTCCATTCAGACGTGTTACGATGTTAAAAAATCCTTGTTCATAATAGTTACAAAATTAGATAAAACTATTAAAGAACTTTATGTGCTATTACAGTTAACAGTATCATAAGTGCGATAAACAAGCATTATATTTAAAAAAATCATACTAGTATATTATCGTTTCGCGCGCAATTTGGAAAAAAAACACACGAATTAGTTTTTCTCAGATAAAAACGATCAATTGAAAAACTCAAAAATGTTTGTTTTTCCAAATTCTTGGGTTGCATATGACGTCACAGAAGTGATGGGGGGTCAACTCTAAAACAAAACACAGTTATCAGAGTGAGTCGATTGTTCGTTTTGTGTATTAGCCTTGTTTTCGGTGGCAAATACATGGAATTTCGTATCATTTTCTCACACCAGTACAGCATAAGCATCAATACATTTGAAGTTGACCTCCCGTCAGATTTACTACATAATACTGTGTAGTGAAACCCAAGAATTGCACGAGAAACCATATAATATTACTTATTAATAATTTAATCTACACCAATAATGTTATCTTGACTATGGACTAGATTTCCGGCCTGTTGTTTTTTTGGTTTGAGAATTTTGTTATAGACTATAAGTAAAGCAATGCCTACAACGAAGCCTATTATAAACGTGGCGCAGGCAATTGGTGCTAGTATACTCATGTGTGCCTCGTCAGATGAAGAAAAAGCCGCTCCTATCATGAGAAGGTTTTCTAGAGATTTCACGCCAAACATGAAACAATGAAGAAGGAAAGAACCAAAACCAAGCGATTAAAGAACAGTTTCTGACACGAAAAATGTAAGCAGAAGGCTTACGGGAAGGTAGGAACATTTAACGGATGATTCGGATTCATTGGTGTTGGTGTAACAAAATGTACACTTACAGGAAATATAGATACAGGCTATACATGTGAATAAAGCACACGATATTAACCAGGACAAGAGCAGAAGAAGGAACATATCATGTTTAAAGACATACGCGAAGACTGCAATCGCAAATAGACGTGACACCAAAACAACCAGTTGATTAACGAAATATACAATGGTTGTGAGCACTTTAAAATCATCTGTATCAAGTTCTTCGTCTTTAATTACTCTTGCTTTTTCCAGAGTGGTGATACTCCATGCTGATAAAAGCAGGGAAATCACGGCTGAGAGCACAGTGTACCATGGGAACGTCCACTGACGTAGCATGATGTAAACCTGTATAGACACCATTGTGGAGCAGACTCCATAAGCACCTCCACATAACGTATCCACGCGAAGTTGTATGCTGACTCGTTGGGCTCCTTGATTTTCTCCTTGTAGTCTCTGCAATCCTTGCAATTCTTGCAGTATGTACTGCAAGGATGGTTTTCTAAAAATTTCTTCTTCCAGTTTTTGAACTCTATACCAAATCGTATAAATATTGATGAAAGTGAAAACATCAAAACGCAGCTGGAATCTTCCCAGAAATTTTCCGGCTCAGTTTGCAATTGACAGGTAGCCAATATATTGACGATGATAGTTGGAACGACGACAAAGAATAATGTCAGTCCAAACTAATAATATTCTTCGTTACGTTTATACTGGATGGCCACAAAGATATCTGTGCCCACGTCGGATATAAACAACACGAAGCCTGTGGTCAGGAAGAATAATTCCGTCTTTCCTCTCATGTTGACCTGTGGAATAAAAACATGCATATACAGAGTGTATAAAAAAACGTGCATAGTTTTAAAATGTCCACTAAACTAAAAATTCCGTCGAACTTTGTGACAACTCTATGTTAGCATGAGTTAGCTTGACAAGTCTGGAACAAGTTGTTATCATCTTGTAACAAGGTTGATGAGGCCAACAGACTCGCAACAAGTTGTTCCAACAAGTCTGATATCGTCTGCACGTAACAAGTTGTTAACAAGTTGATGACAACAAGCTCGTGGCAACTTGTTACGAACAGCCTGTATTAGTCTTGTTGGAACAACTTGTAGCAAGTCTGTTACTGTCATCAACACTGTAACAAGGTGATAATAACTTGTTCCAGACTTGTCACAACAACTGAGAACAAGCAGTGCGAACACATTCTGATATCGGCTTCACAACAACCTTGTTATAACTTGTTTGCAGATCTGAAACAACTTTAGAGTGTTTTGACACATCAGTTTAATGCAAGCACATTAATATTTGTAACAAATCATATTTTCGTGTTTACCCAGCTTCGGGAAAGCGTGTTTCAGCCACAATATGTTGTATACCTCGGTCTATGCATGCTGCCTTGGTCTGCAAATAATTTTGTTAATCAATGCAAGTGAATGCTTACTGCTTCTAACTTAAAGCTCTGATAGTCAAGACATAACGGTCTGTTAACCTGTAGTACGTAAAATCGTATTCAACTCAGACTTACCCCAAAAGCACTACAGGATATACTATTTCATTCAAATGTAGACGAATAGCGATCAATTCAATCGCGTTATCCAAAGGTCTAAAATTCTGTTCTAAAGTTGTAAGCTTTTTCGAGGACAGTTCCGTTTCAAATGCCGATCGCGTGACTAATGTTCGATTTAGTTTAGCATGCAACTATCCAGTAAGCCCCCATGGTGACAAACAAGGATTTGCTCGAAGCTATAAGAAATTCAGCTCCGTGATTGGTTGGTTAAACAACGAAACATCGAGGAACTTTATGGAACCTTTTTTTACCTCCGTTTGACAAAAGCGTTTGCAAAACATGATCATTAGCTACCTTTTTATAGATTTTACATACACAATTTGGAATTTTTGAATGCGGTACTGTGAATAATTGACTTTTTCTAACTGATATTTCTTGCGCTTATAAATTTGATAAAAGTCAATTTGATAGCACATTGGTTAATGATATAATATAATACAAGGCAACTGTTATACAACAATGAAGCAATACAAACACCATAAAACACTGTACATATATTGGCATGGTAGCAACCACGATCAATCTTTTACTCACAAGAAATACTCAATTAACGATACGGAACTTCGAAGTATATTTGAAAATTAAAAATAAAACGCCTACGTTTCCGACCGCAAAAGTTTAAGCAGCCCATTTGAAATTTGTCAGCCACCCCTTGTGATTCCTCTTCGATGAAACAGGCTATAGTTTGATGTAAATACATATAT